TACATTCTAAAGATAGACAAAAATTCCTTGCACCTAACCCAACTTGCCTCTCTGCTTTGGTAGAATCACTTAAATTTCTGTGGTTAGTAAAGGCTGAGATTTCTGGCCAGTGACCTCAGCAATTAACAACCTGAATAGGGCCTCTCTTTAAGTCCGAAAAAGTAATTTAGTGTATTGATCAGCATACCAGGCTCCCTCAGACACTAACTAATGCTGCTTTTGAGGGTCAGGGTGCAGATATGTGTTGAAGGAAATTGAGCATTCATGCTGATTATGAATCCTGAGGGACAGATAGGTCTGAATGTGTGGTTAGAGGTAACTCAAGCCAACTGCCCCCAAAAGCCAGCTATCTAAAGCCCAATGGTTCCTTAAATGTTTAGGCTTCATATCTAGTAATATTCCTAGAATTCCATAAGCCAAACTTTTATCTCCAAAATGTTAGAGTTGAAAGGCATCTGAGACATTGTTTATGTAACTCAACTTGATCACTTTGTATATGAAGTACAGACAGTTGGTCAAAATCACACAGGAAGAAGTGGCAGACTTTGGTCCTGACTCAATGATGACCTCCTGATTCTCAGGTCACTTTCTACAGTGACGATATATTTTTGAAACCAAATATCTGGGCACTTAGACTAAGAAGACTGAGTCTTTTAAGTCGTCATTGTCTTGGGAAATATGAAGCATGTCAGCTGTAAATAAGTGTCTCCTATCTAAGCAAAAGGAATCAAGTAGAAAACTAGAGAGGGAATAATTCCATTAGAGGTCTTATTCCCAGAGGGTTCTCTGCAAAGAATACCTGGTCAGGCCCAACGTGGGAACACCAATGATGCCATTGCAATAGGAGCCTAGAGTGGTCTTAGGGTGTTAGGAGGGTGTCTCTTGTGCCAAAAGAGGTACATGGTTTTCCCCACAGAGTTAGGCCTGTCCTGGTAAGAAACACGAAAGTGATAATATTGCAGACCAGTTAACTTGAAAGGATGGTTCCCTTAGATGTATCTATTTATAGGCAAGACCACTTTTTAGTTTTCTTATAGACTTCTGGATTTGGGAGACATTTTTGGTTGGGGTCAATTAGACCAACCATCTATTCCATAAAGAATTCCTTTTGTAATACCCCTGAAGAAGGCCGTCCAGTTTCCTATTAAGCGCTGCTTACAAAGGGTGATCAACATCTTCCAGGGCAGTTGTTCTACTGATGTAAAAACACTAGTTACTAGAAAATTCTCCCTCTAAATATGCCATTAAAATGACCTTGTGAGGTAGCATAAAATAAAGTGCCTGCTCCTGGATGAAAGAAAGCTTTTTGAGTAGCTGAAATGCTACTCAGTGTTAGCAGTGTTAGCAAAGTACATCTAGGTTTTTGCATGTGATTTTCTTTTCTTTCCTTTTGTTTTTAACCTCTGCCTTGCTCCAAACACATCCCTCAAAATTCAATTTGTATCATCTCCCCTTAGAATCCTACCTGCCATCTCAATTTAAATTTAAATAAAAAAATGTAACTTCCCCTTCACAAAAAAAAAAAGAATCCTACCTGCCTTCCCAGAGGCCATCCCTTTTAACCATTTTGATATTATGGTTACCTCCATACTGCTAAAAGATATGTTTATACTGAGTATTTTTTTCAAATTTTATTTTGTTTCCAGAATTACCTATTCCTTGAAGATTTTTTTTCTCTGTGTATGTCTGTATTAACCTTGTCTCTGCCATTTTTCAGGTTTTTTTTTTTTTAATGTTTGGTAACTTGTGGCTGTCTGTTTATATTTAAGAATAAAGTAGAAAGACTGGCAGTAGGTGTTGTACACAAGGGCAAGGTGTTTTAACTGGAAGGCTTCCAGTTAGGTGAGCAAACCAGAAACTGTCTCCCCACCTGGCACACTGTGAAGGGCTTTTCTGTGGGGGCCAACTCTCAAACTAGCTTGTCTAGGTTCCGCGGGACAGTGATTCCATTTCTTCAGAGAAGAACCTTCTTTTCTGGACTGGAAGCTATCCTGGATGCAGGGGTGTGTATGCTAAATGGGGGCATCTTCATTCCTATCCTCAGACTCTGCCCTTAGTCCCAATCACTGTCAGTGCTCTGAATTTCCTGAGTTTTCCGGGTTCTGCTGGGCAGATCTGCTCTCTTCTGAGCTGAAGGCCCCTGCACACAGTGCTGTTGCACTGCGGTAGGGCCTTTAACGGGTGCCATCCCTGGAAACATAACTCCAGGAGATACCATTCACACAGAATACCACATGAAAGGTGCCTCCTGGAGTCTAACAGCACAAGGCTCTGCCTTCATCGGTGATCTAAGTCTGGGATTACTTTGTTCTGCTTCATCAATCAATACCCTTCTGTCAGCTTTCTGTTGTCCAGAAATGTGATGAAACCTTGTGACCTTTGATACTCCCTTCTATTTCCATTCTCACTATGGGACTGTCCTTTGTTATTATTATTGTTCCATTAGCTTCCTTTTAATAGGGTCTCAGGAGGAAGAGGAGATTAAGGTGTGGGCTGTGTGTGTCAATTTGAACCTGAAACACAGAGCTCGCATCGTTAATGGGGATGTTGTTGTGTCTCATCTTGTCTGGCATAGTTATAGATGATTCAGATATCAATTTAAAAACAGTAGTGACTCTATGGTAGAGGGCTCAATTAGATAGTTTTGTTGTCTCCATGGATCAAATTAATTGGAAATCTGAAATATCTTCACTAATTTTATGTCAAGTAAATAGCATCTTAGATGAAAATTATATAAACATATGGCCTTTTAAAGTACATTCATTTAAAAAATATCCTATGTAGCTGCTCTTCACAGAAGCATTAGAAAGGAGAGTATTGAAATAATGGAATTTCCAATTTCAGTTGATTGCCCGCACTCAGCAGTATAACACTGTAATGGGAAACCTGCTAACGACTCATTGGCCTATGTAAGATGAAAAATAACTTTCCCACTACGTGTTTAGTAACAGTGATTATATGCTCCATTATTTCTCAATCGGACAGCCAGCTGGGCACATGCAGCATGACCTTTAGTGTTCTGGACTTCGTAGAGAATTACTGAGACTACCCTTTTTAAATATTCTAGCAATGTAAAGTTATTGCTGCCTCAAATGTTTTATTTTATATCAAGAAATGTTTTATATAAATACATACAAACATACATATATGTGTATATATACATTTAAGAGCAAGTGTTCAAGGTAGGTCTTCAAACTAATCTAGGCTATAAAAATAAAGGTTTTGTTTGTTTTTTCAGAACATTTTGACTACGTGTATATTTAACTAGTACTTATTGAGGATCTAATATATCCCTGCTACTTTTATTAAAAAATTGATGAGTTCTATACTATTTTTCCCTTTGGCTGTTGAGGAAATCCATGCTCCAAGAGGTGACGGGTCTTGTTTAAGATCAATGACAACACATGGCAGAGGCCAGGATTCAAACCTAACTCTTTGATTCTAGAGTTAGTTTTCTTCTACTCTTGCATGGAATAGAATGTTTTTTTATGCTGCATCATTTGCTAGACACATGGAAAACTACTTTGTATTAGTTGGAACAATGGAGCACTATGAAGCTGATCATACAGTTGTTTTTCAGAAAAGGAGTCACTCTTGCATTTTGAAGTCAGGATAAGGTCTTTAGATTTTTTGGCTTTATCTTACCAGATAATTAGAATTGGTGATTATGTCTATCACAGAATTCATTTAACTCAAGTGGAAAACAGCAGAAAATTAAAAAAAGTGCTTATTAGCAAACTGCTAATAAGCTTTTGTTAATAATAAGAAAAAAAAAGTTTGGAAATAGCCTTAGAAAGAAATGTCATTATTTATCATAGCTGGAGGAAGTCTTCTTTGTGTTACTGACTAAAATGTGAAATGATAGCTACCCTATGCCCTGCTGAGAGAGGTCTTCATAAGGAACAACAAATTAAGGTAGAGAGAAGTGATGAGATTAGTTCCACACCCTCGTCTCTGCTGCAAACAATACTTCAGCCACATAGCATGCACGTGGGCCTCCAGAACCATCCAGAACAGTAGGTTATTGGTTCTATTAAATAATTTCTAAGGTTAGAGTTGATTCTAGTTCTTTATCATTTTTTCACTAGAAAACTCTTCACTATGTCTAACTTAGCCTGCATGTTGTTTATGAAGGGTGTGACCAGTGATCTCCAGCTCAATGAAGTCTTTTCATATCATATTATAAAGGACAGAGCTATATAGTGGAGTCAGACTTGATTTCAGATCCAGGCTGTGCTATTTTCTATGTAAGTGCCTTTGGGAAAATTACTTAACCTCTCTGAGAATGAAGGTTTAGGAAAACATTTACCTATCTCCTAGGACTATTTTAGAAATAAAATTAGATAAGATAGGTAGGTAGATAGATAGATAGATAGATAGATAGATAGATAGATAGACACAGCCTGGCACCTAATAAGCACTCAGTAAACATTAGTTTCTTTTCTCTTCCCTTGAAAGAATATCCATGCATTTGTAGCATTGGGCAAATATTCATATATGCTTCAGTTCTCAGCTCTAGAATTACATCTTTTCTGGAACCACTCTGACCTGTTCCCCGCTCCCCTTTTGAGGCCCATTCTCAGCCAGGTACCCCTCCTGGATCTTCCAGTAACCCCTTATACATATTTCCTACACAGTGTAATGCTTAAACTGTGTTGCAAATATATGTTTGTATTTCTGTCATTCACACTAGACAATGAGCCCTCTGAAGGGAAAAAAGAGATCTTATTTGACTTGTTAAATACAGTACCTAGCACAGTGCTTGGCACGTAACATGAGCTTCATAGATATTTGCTGATTCAAGAAAAAAAAAGAGTGTGTGTATATGTCTGTGTGTGTGAGAGAGAAAGAAAGAAAAGAAGAGAAAAGAAACAGAGAGAGAGATAGAAAGAGGTAGGGAGGGAAAGAGAGAAAGCAAAGAAGGAAGGGAGGAAGGAAGGAGGATTTTCCTCATGTTCAAAGGCTGCACAGTTATGTTAAGAGGAGGCTGTGTATCTTACCCTTCCAGGGAGATGGCCCGTTGGAGAGTCACTGAAGGCTGACGGGTTGCAGTGCTATGTTGGGAATGACTGCAAGAAAAGACAGAGGAAATAAACACAGATCATTTATTTAAAATGTTTTTGAATATTTTAATCAGTCCTATTGTCGAGAAAATAACTTATCTTGAAAGAAACACAGCAGAGATTAAATCTTTGGTGATAAGAGGAATCATCAACCAACCATCAACCGTCTCACTCTACCAGAAAAGGGGCTAATATTTCCTTATAATTTGATTTCAATATGTATTATTCAAAAGTAAGCATTAAATGACAGATAGACATGAAAAGAAACAAACATATTTGAAAAAGGTAATTCTTTCCCCCTGGAATGAGATAACATAGAACATAAAAACATAAATTTCTTTATGATGCATATATTTTTTAAGCTGCAGAATTTTTTCTTAACAAAATTTTATATAGGGCCTAATCTATAAATACGAGAGGTAGTATTTAATTAGTGCAAATTTATTTATTAGTTCAAATTTGCAATACTTATAAAACTAATCAATAACAATTCCACTGTTTGACGAACACAAAAACTTGAAAAATGGGACTTCCAGTTGCATATCAATCTTATAATTTAATGCAATTCCATACTTTTTTTGATTGCAAGAAGGCAAGATTTTGTAAATAAGTACACATAAAGATGGATTTTGTAGATAAGAGGTTGAAATAAAAATAATGATGTATAACATTTATTGAGCACTTATATTGGCCAAGTTACTTTTCTAAGTGTTTTATGTTTGTCTTTTCTTTCTCACAACTCTGTGAGGTACATACCATTAACAGATGAGGAAATTGAGGTACAGAGGGGTTTAGAAACTTGCTCAAAGTGGCATGGTAAATACCTGTGCTTAAAATGGCATCTAGACTGTCTGATTCTAGAGCCATTATTTTTAACCATCATGTTATAACAATTTTTCAGATTTGTTAGAATTTGCCTTGCAGTCTCAGAATATTTTTCAATTAGAAAGAGATGGCAGGAAAATCTTTCATCTGAGGGAGGTACAATACTAATTCAACAGCAAAAGTGTATTTGAATGTGTATTTTTAGGTTGCAGTATTAGTTAAATATTTTAGTTCAAATATTAGTTACATATACATGTAGCATATGAATGTATGTATACATACAGATATGTATAAACAGAAACCCGAGTAAAATGTTTGCAGAACACTCGGCACCTTTGCAAAGCTCTAGGATTTCTCAGCACGTATTTTGAAAACACTGAATTGCCACAGAAAGCCAAGCTATAGACTGCAAAGACTTTCATTCAGAGCCTTGATCATTATGGGTGAGAAGCAGTGTTTCCCTGTGAGTATCATTTGGTCGTGACATGGAGGACATTTGTCTAAGGTTGAAAGAACAGAATTTTGACACCATTGCTGAAGCCTAGAGAATGATATCATTTTCAAGTTAAGGATTGTGCCCTTTGTTTCGTGGTATCCCTCACAGCGCCAAGCATCACAAATATTCAAGGACTATATTTTGATTGACCAGTTGAAAAATACCACAACATTCAGGACTTGGACCATGTAGCCAGACTTCCTGAGTTCAGTTCCTGGCTCCACCATGTATATCAGTGAGACCTTAAGCAAGTTTCTTAAACCTCTCTGCATGTTGGTTTCCCCTCTGTAATACTAGTAATTATACTTTCTTCACAAGGTTTTTAAAAGGATTCAATGAATATAGTGTTTAGAACAATGGCTGTTACATGGTAAAAGCTATGTAAGTATTTGTTAAATAAATAAACTTATATGATTTTGCAGAGTGTGTACTTTGAGATATTTAGTACTAAATAAGAATAATTATTTAGGTTACTTCAGCTAGCTGTATAGTCAATGCCACAAGGTGTATATTTCTGCATATAACGTTGGTGATAAATATAAAATTAAAATAAAAACAATATTTCTTTCCACTGAGGAGAAAGATGTGATGGGAATAGACTGTGCCAGTTCCCTACACTCCATTTTTACCATAAGAAGGATATGACCAGGAGGGTGACCTGCTGGATTTCATCTCTCCAACATTGGAACTTGAGCAGCATCAATCCTAAGTCATTGAAGTGAAGGGTATTTTTATTAAATCTCCATATTAAAAAATTTATGTTCATTAAACTCAAGAGAAGATTTCTTGAAGGATTTTCTCATCTACCAAAATGAAGTCCAGAGTGATATCACTGTTTTACAGGTTGAGACTGCTCTTTAACTAAGCTAAAATATTGCCAAGATTTAAATTTTCACATCCAATTTTTCAAGTAACCTGTCAGTGCACACTCCAATGCCACATTCTCAAAGTTAAAATGCCAAAATTTTAAATGGTGATCTATAGTGCTCGGGTATGCCAGTTTTGATTGTGGTATCTTAAAACTGTTTTGAAGATAAAAGTTCAGTTTTTAATTACAAGATAATTTATAATGTCACAAAGGCCTTATCCATAAAATGATCCAGATATGGAGAGATTCCAAGTCAATAACTGAAAAAACCCAAGTCTGAATCCAAAGGTATTCTGAGTTAAAAGGGCACTGCTTTGCTGAATCTTACTTAAGAACGCTTTAGAGTCAGAGGATCTTGGGAGAAAGCAGCAGAGTGGATTGTAATTCTTTTCCAAATCACTTTAACTGAGGACTGAGTGACCATACAGTCTGGGAAAGACCACAAAGAGGAACCTAATAGCTTCAAGGCAAAGGAAGAAAGGAGCAGATCAAAGGAAGTAATATGTTCCTTCCCTTGATAAAAAGCTGTTACTTTTCAAAGTTACCCCAAACCAATGGCCACTTGTGTTCCAATTTATTTAGTATTCTTTTCAATTTCCATGTAGTCAAAGAGTGCTTTCCTTCTCAGAGAAATTCAGAAAAAAAATTATATTTAACCAGCCAAATGAATGAAAATTTCATTTGAAGTAAAATATTCTTGAAATATTTGGTTTAGCCCCATAATGCAATGCCCAAAGTACCTTCAGATTTTTATTCCTAAGTGAGTTTTCATATTCAATTAAATTCTCTTGCATCAAAGCTACTTAAGAAACATTCTAGACCAAAGATATTTCAGTTACCTTTAAGCCCTCTGGGGAATGCCCCTCCAAAAAGATCAGGTCATTCATTCTTGAAACTCATAAATGTCAATGCAAACATACCCTGAAGGTTCATTTATCACACAGAGGTTGAGTGAACCTATGATTGGAAATAGAATGAATAGTAATAACTTCTGAATATGTTCCATATTTTTGCACGCTCTGTTGTCTCCAGTATCAGTTTTCCTTTGCTACTCCAGAGCTGGAATTTATTAAGGTATATTAAGGATAAGACTGAGATTCATATTTCAAATATTTTTGCCAGTCTCCCATCCAACAGCAAAAAAAATAAGTATTCATTGATATTGATAATTCCCACCACTGCTGACAAGTTTCACTGGGTTTTTTTTCCTTCTTTTTCCCAGCTGAGAAAATATTTGCTGTTGAACATCTGGCTAAGGAATGTTGAAAGTCCAAAAAGGTCTTGTGTACCATCTAAGTG